AAATTTTGGTGTCATGGAAAGCTGTGAATACTTATGTACATATAAGTTTTTTTATTATTACTTGGTGCTCTAGTGTGACATCTAGTACATTGATTTCGTATATATTAAGCTTTCACGCATTTGAATGTAGTTGTTTTGAAAAATTTGTGAGACTGATTTAAATACGTAAAAATACATTTTTGAAATTAAATGGTAAATGGTAAATGACCTGTACTTGTATAGCGCCCTTTCTAGTCTTCCAACCACTCAAAGCCCTTTTACACTACATGCCATATTCACCTTTTCACACACAGTTCATCCAGTGATGGCAGAGTCCCATCAAACAGACACTAACTCATTCATTCACATTCACACACGATGACATAGCACTGGAAGCAATTTGGGGTTCCAGTAATTGCTCAAGATCTTCAACATGCAGCAGGGGGGGGGGGGGGGGGGGGGGGGGGGGGAGAGCCAGGATCGAACCACAACCTTCCAGTTGACGACCCACTCTACCTTTGAGTCCACGAGCTTGCCCCTTTACACCCTTTGAAATGGCAAATAGAAATTAAAAATGGGATTCATACCAAACAAATTAAAATGGTTTCAAGTAAAATATATTTCAATACTATACATTCAGAGGGAATAGTATTAAAGTAGTGGTTAAATTTAACAGTTTAGTATTTCAGTTACTTATCAGTGAAACCTCTAATTACTGATTGTGTTTAATTGCCAATGACTTTCCACTTTTTTTATTTGGAGAGAAAGATTGTGCTATTGCTCCTTCAAACGTCATGTAATCTGCTTTAAAGTAGTATGTATAAACCTTCCACTATATCCTGACAGTGTAAACATGAGGACAGATCATCTGTGAAAAAGATTACTGCTTCACTCCGGCTCTCCTAGTGCTCCCTGATGGCAAGAATCCACCAGGCTGTTTTCGTCACGAGGCTGGTGGGAATTCTTGCAAATGCCATTTGAGCTTTAGGAGGAGCCACAGGAACTGATGTTTTCACAAGAATTATCTCCTCATGTACTACTGTCAGATCACAGTGAAAATGTCCACCTAATGACAAATTATTTTATCTACTGCAGCTTTAAGGCTGTTAGTTTACTGTATGAGTTTAGGTCTCCCTTCAAAATCAAACCTCAGTGTCCACTGGTGTTAAATTAAAGAAACAAAGTCATTCCAGACAAGCAGCTTCAGGGAGCTCTGTCAAAGCCTGGTGAAGGTGCAGCTGTGTTGTTTGGGAGAAACTGTTTAGTCAAGGTTACTTTGAATCACATGGAAGGTCCTCGTCGACATCTCTGCATGTGAAAAGTTAGTGGTTCTGAGTGAAGCAGTGGCCAATGTGGCACCTTTCCTCATTTCTTAATTACGAGATATAGTGTCATTTTTTTTTTTTATCCAGTGAATGCAATGCGCTTAAGTAGTTTTCCAATAGCAGTTTGCCCGTAACGTACACTGACACCCCGCTGTCCCGAGAGACTAACGTAATAAAAACGTAAGCCTAACGACAGGCCGCAAATGGAGCCGGGGACCTCGCGTGAAATCGTGAGCGCCGCGGAGTGCCCTGTACCGACCGGTGTGCGGGAGGAGACCCCGGGGGAAGAGGCGACAGGAGGCGAAGGCAGCACCAGGATGTTTAAGCGGAGAGAAGCAGACGAAGACACCGCGGAGGAGGAGGTGGAAGCGTGTGAGCAGGATTGTGGTGATGATGCTGAGAACCGGATTAAAACCGAGGAGGAAGATGCAGGAAAACACGAGGAGGAACTGGACCCCAGAATTCAGGCATGTTATCATTATTATTGAAGTAGTCAATAGATGATGTGTTTACACAAACAATCCAGTTTTGTATAAGTGCATACGAGATATTTACTAAGCAAAGTTGTAATAAACATAAACATATACATGGCACTGTCCTTCCACAGACTGGTACTTGGCATGGGCAGCCTTACGCCTGCATCTCTGGGCTGCAAATGTCCCCCCACTGAACACTGTCTCATTGTTTTATTTCCAGCATCTTTCCAGTTTTCCTGTGCATATTTGGCTGTTAACATCCTTTCCCTGTGTTTCCAGGAGGAGCTGGAGCACCTCAACCAGGCCAGTGATGAGATCAACAAACTGGAGTTGCAGCTGGATGTAAGAAAGTTGACAGACTGTTCACTGTCCTGTTATCACAGCTTCATGCTTTCACACAGTGTCATGGCAGGGCTCAGTGAGTGTGAACTGCCATGTTTTGTCCCATTTGTGTGCTCCTTTTAGGATGCCAGGTCCAGCTACAGGAGGATTCTCACTGATTCTGCGAGGAAGCTCAACGCTCAGGGCTCCCAGCTCGGTGCCTGCATTGAGAAAGCAAGACCCTACTATGAATCCCGCAGACTTGCCAAAGAGGTACATGTTGTTGCCGCATGTGAGTCTACAGAGTATGTGCGTGGATCACTATGAGAGCGGTATACTCAGTCGGCAGGTCCACCTAGTATAAACCATGAAACTAAGTGCCTGTTTACAGCTGGTATTAACATGCGTCCTAGGTGATCCGATCACAGGTGGGCAGTTCTAAATACTCAAACCGCTTGCAGAGGTATTCTGGGACACATTTAACCCAGAATACAAAATATCTTTTGTAGTGTAAACACTAATGCACCATGGGCCACATAGAAGGACTGCCTAATCATCTGACGTCCTGTAACTTGAGATAAGTATTAATATCATGTATCATGTTAATACATGTTAGTATCATGTTAATGTTTGTGAACACATTGTCTGTTTCAACTTATTTGACCACTGAACTAGTAGTCACTATATCTTCCTTCAATAATCGTACAATTTTGGGTTATTGCGTGAGAAAAAACTTAATCAACTTTGTGAAACATTATCTACGACAGATTGGTCATTATATGGGCCTTTCTGTAGTAGGGGAAACATTACACATTTTTTTTTTTTTTAATTTAATTTCACTATTTTGGATAGTGGTAATGGTGGCCCAACCTCCTCTTTTCCCGTCCACTGCGAGTGACTGTTGGACTGACAGCCTGTCAGCAGCCCGGCGGTGGGAGAGACACACTTCTTTGGCATTAATGTCTTTCTTCGTCATATGAGATGTGAAAACATCAGATTTCCACACAGTTGAAAAAACAAAAGTGTGTCCTGCTCATAAAGTTCTGTTTTAAAAGCCCACAATGCACTAGCGTCTCTCCCGTGGGACTGTTGAAAGAGCAGGTAGAAACAACTGAATTGAAAACAAGGACAGTAGTAATGGACATTGACTGACAAAATTCTGAGTAGGGTACAGCCCTATAGAGCGAGGAAGTGAGATCCAATCATAAGTGGTCACTCGAGACACATTCTAATGCGAGGTGTAAACTGACGTATTTAAAGCTGTCTACTTGTGATTGGATCACCCAAGACACATGTTAATAGTAGTTGTAAACAAGCTCTAAAAAAGAAGGAAAGGTTACCAACAGCACCAGCGTTCTAATGCTGTTTTGGTGTAAGACCTTAGTGGAGACCCGTTCTATTGAAGCCTATGGGAGATACATAGAGAAGCACATTTATGTCGTATGACCTTTGATGATGAGATGCCTCTACCGAATGAAAGAACGCCCAAGAACACAAAGAATACAGACTGATTTTTTTCTAAATGTGGTCTCCAAATAGTATCCAAAGATGATTATAGGCATACTTTGTATGTATGTAACAATATATATGTTGTTTTATAGCTAAAGGATTGTTTATAGCTTACGAATGCACAATAAATCATCAGAGGACATTTGTAAACACTTCCTTTGAATAAATGGTATTCCCATAACATTAGCTGTTATTAGCCCTGTCAATCATCATAAAACAGCCTCAGATTTGGAAAGGAGTGAAATAATTAAGAATACATTTGCAACTTTTACCAATGTTGAGCATGTGAATTTGACGGTAAAGTATGCCTATATCATTATCTGTTGATACTATTTGAAGAGCAACAGCAAATATATGACTGAAAAAAATATATGTTTTGTGTGTATTTTTTCAATTCAATTCAATTTTATTTGTATAGCGCCAATTCATTAACAGAAGTTATCTCAGGACATTTCAAATAGAGCGCAGCCGTCCTAGACCGAACTCCTTTCATATAGGATTTTTTTCATCAGAGGCTATACACTGTAGATATGTTGACTTTCATTGTGCCTATCCATGCATCTCCCATGGGCTTCAATAGCACTGGCACTAAACTGCATCAGAATGATGGTGTTATGTTTAGTTTCCTTGGTTTAAACTAGTACTGCAATAAATCCTCCTTGTTGATGCAGTTTGGGCTGCTGTTGAATTGTACTGTTAATTCGAGAGGTGATGTTTTTATTCTAACCATAGTGATATAATTGAGGTAGACAAAATATCAGTATAACCATGCACGGAGTAACATAGAGAATGACATAAAGCAGTGGTTCCCAATCTCCTGACCCCCACTAGAGGTCGCTAGAGGTTCTTGATTTTAATGTGCGTGAATTTCATTCATTACTGTTATGAAAACCAAATGAAATTGTTTTTGTTTTTTAAGTTTAGAATATTATTATTCTATACTTTTAAGACCTGAACACACAGAGTCTTCACTCTCTGAGAAACAGCCTCATCCTGCATTTGAAAAGTACGCAGTTAATTTGTCTAAAAAGAAGCCTATTATGTGTGTATGATTCTTAAACCAAATTCATAATACAGACACAGAATGGTATAAAAAGTTCCTAAAGATAGGAAAATCTCTATGTTGTCTCTATTATCTCTTATGTTGATATTCTTATATACGCTGTAAAGTGCCATACACAGGTTGTGATAAAAGGAAAAAAAGGTGTGAAAATTTGTCGTGAGGGGAATTTTAGACCTCTTTAGGACTGCAGTCTCAGAAAATCCGAAGGTTTGGCAAGTATGACCGATAGAATGCAGCTTAGGAACACTGGATTGGCTTCAAATTTATAATTATTTAAATTTCAGATTTCACTTTTTTGTAGTGGGAGTGTATTATGTATTGGTTGATTCCATTGGGGAAAGTCCACAGCAGTATTAATTTAATCAATGAAAACTGTGATGAAAAATATTCTTATCTTATTCAATGACCTGCTTGTAGAATCTGACACTGTAGCCTAGCTGCTGTGGTTGTGGATGTAACCTTAACACTACTTTTAGTTGGTTGTCTTTCATGTTGCCATCAGAAGGAATGAGTTTTAGTACTTTCAAGTGAACAGTATATTAATGAATTAGTGGTGCTCAGCTGTTCTGCAGTGGTGAGAACAGGCACATGGTGTAACTCTAGGTGAGCAGGAACGATGGAAGAAGTGTGGCACTGTACAAACAGCCAGAGTTTTGAAATGATGACTGGATTTACTGAGGGGAGTCAGTCTGTTCTATTACTGCAGATAAGAGGGACATGGGGATTGTATGTGTGTGTGTGTGTGTGTGTGTGTATGCCTTTTCCACTAACCTTGCAATAGATAAGCACACCTGTAACCATAGTTACTATACACTACAAAGATGGTGACAGCATTTTGAGATATTAGCCTCAAGAAGACAGAAAAATAAAAAAATGCATGACAAAAATGTGACGAAAATATACATTTCAAAACACTTCAACTACATCAGGGGGCAGAATTTAACACTGGTCTTCTTTCAGTGCTATTGAGGAGGATCTTGTAGAACAGAGAAGGTTTGACAGTCACTGTCCATGGTGCTGATCCTGAGATCACTAGATGAGGATGCTGCAGATGTCGTTCATCAGCTGCTTGAAATTATCCCAAACTTTGGACACTTTCTGTTGTTCTGTTTGGATTGTATTGGCCTTGTTTATATAGTTTTAAGGGCTTCATAGTAATAGCTGTAGAGTGACAGGAAAGGGGGGGGAGGGGCATTGAACATTGAACCCATGGCTGCTACTCCAAAAGTAGGAGCCAGAACCTTTAGCTACCAAGCTCCTCTCCTGTGAAACCAGCTTCCAGTTTGGGAGGGAGATCCCCTCCCTTTTATTGCTGTGCACCTTTGTCTCTGTCTCTGTTCTTCTCTCTTTAGAATTGAATTGCTACAAGTAGTCAGCCATGGGGTGCCAGCTCTACCAGGTGAGCTACCAGGGCATCCCAGTCTATAGTCTCTTAAATGTCAGCAGGGATAGCTGAGATTGAAGGATTTTTCTGTAATGAAACCTAATTGATTACTAAAACGTTTAACCGTTGGACTGGACTGGAGCATGAGTGGCATGTTTAATCAACATGCAGAGGATTCATTTGAAACAAAAATTGAACTAATGGAGATCTCTTGGAGAAAGAGCAGAGGTGTAATTGATAGTAATAAAGCAAATAATAGATTATTAATCTGAACTGTTAAGCACTGTCACTTGTTAGTGTGTTGTAGTTATAAAAATGCAAATTGGAAAATGGGGAAAATGTCATTAGTATCACATCAGTGGTGTTCATATGCAGATTTCAGCCGCCTTTGCATTTTTTATCACTTAAACCACATGCTTGACAAGCCTGTCACATAAGGACTCCATATGATAAAAACTGTCATCATAAACAGTGATGGACTGATTAATCTTTCACCAGCGACCTTACATTTAAGGTCCTGTTATCCTTCTCCATCCAGCCAAGCCTTCCTGCTGCTTTCACATGCAGAGATGTCGACGAGACCTTCCCATGTGATCAAAGTAACCTTGACTAAACAGTTTTCTCCCAAACGAACACAGCTGCACCTTCCACCAGGCTTTGACAGAGCTCCCTGAGCTGCTTGTCTGGAATGACTTTGTTCTTTAATTTACACACCAGTGACACTGAGGTTTGATTTTGAAGGGAGACCTAAACTACATACAGTAACTAACAGCCTTAAAGCTGCAGTAGATAAAATAATTTGTCATTAGTGTGGACATTTTCACTGTGATCTGACAGTAGTACATGAGACTGATAATCTGTGAAAACATCAGGTTCCTGTGCTCCTCCTAAAGCTCAAATGGCATTTGCAAGAATCCACCAGACCTGGACGAAAACAGCCTGGTGGATTCTTGCCATCAGGAGCACTAGGAGGAGCCAGAGGAAGCAGCTAATCTTTTTCACAGATGATCTGTCTCATGTACCACTGTCAGGATATAGTGAAGGTTTTACATACTACTTTAAAGTCAGATTACATGACGTTTGAAGGAAGCAATAGCACAATCTTTCTCTCACAAATAAAAAAAGTGGAAGTCATTGGCAATTAAACACAATTCAGTAGATTAGAGGTTTCACTGATAAGTAACTGAATACTAAACTGTTAAATTTAACCACTACTGAATACGTAATTCCCTCTGAATGTATAGTATTGAAATATTTTACTTGAAAAACCATTTTAATTTGTTTGGTATGAATCCCCCTCTTTTTAATTTCTACTTTGCCATTTCAAAGGGTGTAAGGGGCAGCTGTGGCTCAAAGGTAGAGTGGGTCGTCCAACTGGAAGGTTGTTGGTTCGATCCCTGGCTCCTCCAGCTGCATGTTGAAGTATCCTTGAGCAAGTTACTGAACCCCAAATTGCTTCCAGTGCTGTGTCATCGGTGTGTGAATGTGAATGAATGAGTTAGTGTCTGTTTGATGGACTCTGCCATCACTGATTGAATGTGTGTGAAAAGGTGAATATGGCATGTAGTGTAAAAGGGCTTTGAGTGGTTGGAAGACTAGAAAGGCGCTATATAAGTACAGGTCCATTTACAATTTACCATCATATCTCTCCTGTATTAGCTTCTCT